CGCCTGTATAATAGTAAAGGAAACATTGAAGGATATAGTTAAGGATTTGTGAATAAATCAGAAAAATTTTACTTAATTTGATCAAGTATATTAATTGAGCAAATTAAGAAAAAATTACCTGATTTATTCACAAATCCTTAACTATATCCTTTATAACTTATACTAGATAATGATGAGTAAACATTACATAAATTTGTAGCATTTAAATTTACTTAACAAACATTAGTGCAATTAGTTGCGAGGATTCTTTTCAAGTAAATCTTACAAGATATTTTTTCAGTGTATGCAAAATACTGGGTGTAGCAGGGGTCGTCGAAGGCCACGATTAGGAAAAATTCAAAGGAGGATTAAACCTGCTGTGGATACCTGCTTTACATGTGGTAATGTGGGACACTGGTCCAGGAACTGGATTTTCTCAAAGGTTTGAATTATCTGGTTGTCTGAGAAATACTGGAAAAGCTGCACGTTTGACTCTTGTTATAGGTAATGATTTTAGACTGCAGAACATTCAAGAGACATCATGATAGTTGTTGTGCTCAGTGGTGGACAGTAATGGAGTACATTTACTTGAGTACTGTACTTAAGTACATTTTGTGAATATCTTTACTTCAGTAATGGAGTACATTTACTTCAGTACTGTACTTAAGTACATTTTGTGAGTATCTTTACTTCATTAATTATTTTTTGGAGTACTTATGACTTTCACTCCACTACATTTCAAAGATAAATATTGTACTTTTGACTCCACTACATTTCTAGGAAGCTTTTAGTAACTCGTTACTTTTGGTTCAGCTCTGTAATGAGCTGTTGCTGTTTTTCTTTCTTGAAACGCCACACTCACAACGGGAACCACTCACAGTCATAGCCCACACCTGGGATAGATTTGGAATTACATCATCCTTGCTAATAGATGCGAGCTGAGCCTGAGCTCCCAACTTTGGCAGCACGATGGCTCAGTGGTTAGCACCGACGCCCCACAGCAAGAAGGTCCTGGGTTCGATCCCCGCTTTGGATCTGGGGTCTTTCTGTGAGGAGTTTACATGTCCTCCTTGTGCTTGCGTGGGTTTTTTCCGGCTACTCTGGTTTCCCCCACCCCCCAAACAAAAACATGTACAACAGGTTGCCTTCAGRCCCAGACCGCTCTTGAAAAAGAGATCTGAGATCTGAACGGGACTTACCTGGTAAAATAACTGTAAATAAATTAAATTCTGCACTCGATCTGCAGCATGGAGGTCTAAGCTGTAGCCGGAGGTCGCTGCAGACATTGATGCTAACAGACAGACAGCAGAGTTTTCCAGGTCTGCTCAGACATGTTTCAGACTTTATTCAGCTGTTCTCTGCTGTGATTGACATTTCCTGAAACTTTTGTGTGTTTTTCTTTCTGTTTGATGACAGGAGAGGGGAACACATTCAATCTTAGACAACCAAAATCCAACAATTAAAACAGCTGTGCAATTTGGCTCAAATTATTGTCAGCCGTAGCTTCCTGAAGGTTCATCAAAATTTAAGATGTATTTATTTTATTTATTTATTTTCATATTTTAAAGACAAAGGAGCCCTGCAACGGGAATTAGTCTGCTCTCTTTGCTCCTGGACAACAGAAGAGGAGACGGGAGGGAGGTGTAAACATCTAAGACTTGCTGGAGCTCCACACGGCCAGCTCTCAACCTGTCCCCACCTGTAGTACTCGATCTGTGGTACGACTGCAGCCAACATACCCCATTGCCTTCTTGGGCTTATATCTCAAAAATTACCAAACGGATTTATATGAAACGTTCAGAAAATGTTTATTACACTTTTGGGAAATGTTCAATAAACCACAGAGAACAGCAGATTAAAGTTTAAAACATTTCAGAGCACGAATGCTTGTGTGGCTCCTAAGAACCGCTGGAGTGGAGCTCCGCACCGAACCCTGTTCTCAACCTGTCCCCACCTGTAGTACTCGATCTGTGGTACGACTGCAGCCAACATACCCCATTGCCTTCTTGGGCTTATATCTCAAAAAGTAATGTGTATGGCTCATTGTCTCCAGCAGTTCTTGGATCTGACAGGAGCTTCGCATGCTCTYGTGCTCTGATAATAGCTCTAAGTCAGGGGTGTCCAAACTTTTTTCAGAGAAGGCCAAATACATCAATATGTGTGTATTTCTAACTCACCTATTGGGCATAAGGTCACTGTGGTTTGTGATTTGTGATTTTTATCCATTCAGAAATATCGCYCGTGAGGGGCTGCACCTGCTTGCAGGTTTAAAACCTGGTGCTGAGCTTCCAGGACCGGTTCCACCTGATCAGATCTGTTCCTTTTATTGTCTGGAACAGATCCATCAGGTGGGTTTCTGAATTTTTTTGCATTATTGCAGAAATATGGCCCGAGGGGTTTTTAGCAGGCAGGCGGCTATAAAACCAAGTGCTCAGCATCCAGGACCGGTTCCACCTGACTGGATCTCTTCCTTTTATTCCCCTGCATCAGCACCAGCAGCCCCGGGCTGAAATTCAGCCGTTTCACCTGCCGGAGCTCACCCGCCAACATCTGACTGCTTATATCTCTGCGGGGGAACATCCCAGGAACTTGCGACCACCACCAGAGCAGATCCAGAGCTTTAAAACAAGCCCTCCTCCGCCCGGATCAGACGCTCAGAGCCGGAGCTAGAGGCTCTGCAATAAATGGACTGCTTCTTGTGCGGGCCATATTCAATTAGATTTTCAGAATTTGCTGCGAACCAATAAAAACGGTACCGCGGGCCGTAGTTTGGACACCCCTGCTCTAAGTGATCTATCCATCCATCCATTATCTATACCCGTTTATTCATTTTCTAGGGTCTCTGGTGCCCATATCCAGCAGTCATGGTGCGAGGGGCGGGGTACACCCTGGACAGGTCTCCAGTCCATCACAGAGACACACATAGAGACAAACAACCATTCASTCTCTCACTCACACCTAGAGACAATTAGAGTTATCAGTTAACCTAACAGTCATGTTTCTGGTCTGTGGGAGGAAGCCGGAGTACCCGGAGTTCTCATGATCGAATGTCACCTCTGTCCGTAGCCGTCAGCTCGACCCTCAGCAGCCGACAGGCGGTCAGACTCTGGACTGTTGACTCGACGGTATCGTAAAGATCGACCCTGACCTGTTGGTGACTCGGGGGCTCCACCTCGGACTGGTGACACTGGACAGGCCCCCCGACCTGCCTCCTCTTCCTGAGCACCCTGTGGTAATTTAAACAAAAATATTTTACTCATCGGTTTTGTTAATGAAAAGTGCAGAAAAAGCAGACAGAAAAAAGAAAAAAATACAAACACTAAAGTTTCATAAAAATACAAAAATTCAATGCATGTGGAATATTTCCTACCAGTTTTGTTCTTTCTTTTAATAATTCTAACACAGACCTTGTTCAGGCTGATCCTGAGTCTGTTGCGATTGAAGTCTGTGTCCTCCCAGACCTCTCCCTGCTCGCCTGCGTTCTGCTGSACAGCCGTGTCCACAGGAGGCCGGCTCGATGGGGGAGGAGGAGCATTCTCCTGATCGCTGAGGTGTTCATCCTGCAGAACGTCGTCCGTGTTTTCCCTCTGAGGATCTCCAGGAACCGGAGTCACTATGGCACTGTAAACACAAGGCTTGAATTCAACTGAAGTTATTTCACAGATTGAGGAGAAAATGTGTGTTTCTATTACCCCAGTACCAAAACAATTCAGATGTTATGTAAAATGCAAATAAAAACACATAAATTTCATAAACTCATATTTACAATGAAACACAGCAAACATAACAAATGTTTATAATAAATAATTTTACTGCCATGATCTGTCTGTTTGGGTGTTTTTATTTGGTCTCTTCTGGTTTTCTGTCCTGTATTTCTGTTGACCTCCTCCTGTCTGTCTTTGCTCCAGCCCCGCCCACTCTCACCTGCTCCTCATGTTTCTCTCCCAGGTGTTTCTTGTTTTAGCTCATTAGTTCTCCTTTATTTTCTGTCTTGTGTCCTCAGTCTGAGTCAGAGCGTTGTTGTTCTGTTCATGTCTCAAGCCAAGCCTAAGTGTCTTGTTTGCTGCCACGCCCGCCTGTTGATTTGTTTAATAAAGACATTTGCACCTTTATTGCCAAGATCATTTCAGCTCTGCACTTGGGCTTCTAACCTTCCCTTCATAACATTTACAGTATTTTTGGGGAACAACTAAAAYACTTTTGAATTTGATGACAKYAACACATTTCAAATTGGTGGGAACAGAGGCAAGAAAAGGCTGTATACTGTATGTAAATGTGATGAATAAGATAGAACTGAAGAAACATTTTGCAATAACTGAAAGCAGGTTAATGAAAAGAGTTAAAAAATAATTTTAGAGAAGCTGAATTTCTCAGCAGTAAGGATGGACAGAGGTTTATGTCTGAAAAACTGTCTAAAAATAGGACAATTACAGAATAATGTTCCTCAATGAAAATTTGGGCAGACTGAATATCCCATCATCTACAGTGCATAACATCAAATGATTTCAAGAATCTGGAGAACACTTTGTGACTAAAAAAATATGAAAGTCTATAATAGATGTCTATGATCGTCAGGCCCTCAGGCTGCCCTGTATTAAAAACAGTTGTGATTAGGTCATAGATATCAGTGCATAGACTCAGGACCTCTTCCACAAACCACAGTAAACACAGTTCACTGTTCTAACCACAAATGGTGATTAAAGCTCTATCATGCAAAGAAGAAGTAATTTATGAACACATCCAAAAACACTTCTTATCTTGTCTGGGTGAAAGGTACTTTAAGGTAATTTAAGATGCACTGAGGAGAAATAAAATAACTGTTCTGTGGTCAGACATGTGACATGGCAAAAGTAGGAAAAAAGTTGCTGATGAACAAACTAAGAAAAAAAACAGTGATTTTCAGTTTTCTGCAGAATATACTAGTTAAAGTTATGAGAAAACCAACCTACGCTTTAAATAGCCGTTTTGTAGGTTTTTAAAATGGTAAACTTTGTGTTTGACCAGCTGTGATAAAAGATGRTCYACAGAAATATTCTCACGCTCCACCTGAGAGGACGAGGTGGGCGCAGGAGACCACTCAGGTGATCTTTAAAACAGAAACCTGAACCAGTGCAGCAACAACACTGATCAACAGCTGCATGTGATCTGGCACATGTGAGCTTATTGTACCACAGTTTGATAATTAGCCACGGAGTGCAGTGAATGCAGAGC